CTCTGAAAAGCACTGCTTTTTTTCTCTTGAGTCCTTCCCAGATTTTGTGTCAAAAGTGGTGGAGAAAGGAAAGGAAGGCCCAGGCCTGGGGCATCCCTCCCCCTCCTTCACCTGCCCTAGGTGACCTGCACACACTCAGATTAAAGAAATCTATTGCCTCTTCTAAAGCGCAATATAATCTGTAGCTCCCACAGTGCCCAGTGGCGCAAGCACTGCTTTTTTTCTCTTGAGTCCTTCCCAGATTTTGTGTCAAAAGTGGTGGAGAAAGGAAAGGAAGGCCCAGGCCTGGGGCATCCCTCCCCCTCCTTCACCTGCCCTAGGTGACCTGCACACACTCAGATTAAAGAAATCTATTGCCTCTTCTAAAGCGCAATATAATCTGTAGCTCCCACAGTGCCCAGTGGCGCATTAACTTGTTCCCTTCTGTGTAAGGTCACTTTTATTTGTGTTATTCCCAGGAATGCTGTCCAGCAGTAAACACAGACACTGTGGTGGTGATTTTATGGTTCTCCTGGTGTGTGACCCCTTGGGATGAGGAGGAAGAACAGGGTGAACCCCTGTCGAGCAGATAAGCAGGGACATGTGATGCCTCTAGCAGGCTTGTCCTCTTGCTTGTAAAACAAACACTTCCTTGCTCTTCCTGCGCTGCTGCTTTTGAGCTCAGACATTATCCTCTGGTTCTGGTTCCATAGGCACAGAGGAATTGATCAGTCCAGAGGCTGAGATGGAATCCGGGGGTCCAACACAAAGACATATAAGCAGGGACTGGAGACTTTGCAGCTGCACAACACTGAGTATATCCTGTGTAACTTCCTCCCTGCTATGGCTGTGCTTCAGGTCTTGGAGTAAGAACCTCAGTGCCTTCTCTCTTACAAGTGGTTTAATACCTGTTATTAAGTCATTTAACCTCCTCTGTGTCTCAGTTTCTCACCCACCAGGGAAAAATGCAATAGTTCTCTGCTTCCCAGGGCTGGGGACGATCATTTCTGTCCCATTTGTGAAGGAGGAGGATGAGCACATAAAGGTTTATCAACTAAGTGGTGCAATAAAAGTGTTACGTGGGCCCAGAAGCATTGTGGTTGTGGAGAAGGACTTTCACATCCTTTGGTATGCTCTTTTCACAGATGGGCTGGGGGGATCTGGGAGCTTTTGGAGAGCCTTCTAAGGAAACTCCTAACCTGGACCAGATGGCTTCAGAAGGGATGGTTTTCCTGGATTTTTATACTGCCAACCCCCTCTGCTCTCCCTGTGAGTACACTGCAGCTTCACACCAGTCATAAGCAGGAGAAACATCTTCTCTGGGGGAGTTCAGGGTGTTTGACAGCCTCTGCCATAGACTGACAACCTCAGGCCTGAGTTTGGATTTGGTGCTTTGATCTTGCATTTTGCTCCCTTTTTGTTTATGTTTGGATTGGAAAACTTACAACCTTCAGTTCAATGCTCACATCAGTCCAGCTAAAGGAGTTTTTACACCATTGCAGTTCAGTTTTACAACTCAAATCATTGCATGTTTCCTTCTTTCTTATTTTGGAATAAACCAAGCAGGACCTAACCTGTGAACATAGTTTGTATGTAGTGTATGTGACTCCCTTGGCTTTGGGGAGACTTTGATGTGAGGAAAAGCAGCAGGTTGTGTCCTGGTTTTGACCCTGGTGGCTTGCAGGATTCTTGGGGAAGGGACAGGAGATGAAAGAGACCTTTGGGTCTGGGAGAGACAGTTATTTTCATCCTTATTCTTGTTTTTTCTGAGGTGTTTTCTCATTCTTAAAACTGATTAGCAGCCAAGAACTGAAACAAAACTGAGCAACAAGAGCTTTTACTTGGGCTTCCATTTAGGATGTCACTTGGCAATGTGCTGGTCACATCCTTGCTCAGTAAAGGCATTGAATATATGCTGAAATCCTGCTAAGTTCAGTGCTTAATGTTAAATATCTGCTTAAATATTGCCTGTAGTCAGATCCTGACTTCTACTGTCAGAGCTGGACAGCTCATTCTTTATATTGCAGGAGTTTTGTCCCGGGAAGCTTGAAAACTTAGCCATCAGTTTGTGTGAGGATTTCCTGTCAAACATAATATATAAATATATATGTCTGTTCATATATTATATACATGTGTATATATAGTGTGTATATGTGTGTATATATTGTATGTGTGTGTGTATATAAAATATGTATATGTTTGTATGTGCATATATATACATATAACTAAGATGTAAGGGTTGCTATATTAATTATGCAAAATGATGACTCTCCAGCACTGAGTAATTTACCAAAGAAGCCAAATTTCACTTGGGTTTGTCCTGGGCTAACTCCAGTGGTGGATCAGACCTGTCTCTCTCCATGGCTCACTGGAGAGGAGAGTTCTGCCTGCTCTAATGGGAGTCATTTCGTGCTGGCTGTGGCAGGAGCACACTGACACATTCAGTGAGTGTGTTGGCCTCAGCCTGCTCACAATAATTTTAATATTAGGCAGAAAATGGCTGTAAACACACTGTGTTTGTTACTTGCAGCACGGGCAGCACTGCTGACAGGTCGTCTCCCAGTCAGGAATGGATTTTACACCACCAATGCTCATGCCAGGAATGGTAAGGGCTCCCTCCTCGTTCCCCTTCCTCTCCCAATTGCCCTCTGTGCCCTGTGGGATGTTTTGCCTTGAACAAAGCCTTGGCTCAGGGATCTTCCCCTATGGATCTGCCAGAGTGGCACGGAGAGATTACCCTGTTAAGTGCTGGTAATCAGCGTGAAATGTATTGCTTCCTCTTCATCAAGCAGCAAAGCTCCTCGAATTAAGAGGCGTAAACAGGGCTGGTTGATGCATTTGCTTCTGCTGGCTGAGAGATGTTTCCTCTGGGCAGTGTAATTGGGGCTGGTGGAGGAGGTGTCATGTGGAGGGTGTTAACACCCAGAGGAAACAACAGGCTGCTCACGGTTTTACTCAGTTTTCTAATCATTTCTAGCTTTTTCTATGTCTTAATTTCAAACTGTTTCATAATTTTGAACCATTTCTATCTAACCTTGGCAGTTGTATAGCCCTCATGAGCTTCCAGGGAAGATTCCCAGTTCATAACAGCCCTAGGGTGGTTTTGGTCCCAGTGTGACAGTGCTGGGCCAGAATCAGCAGCTACAGGCTGATTCACACCATGTCTCTGCAAACCTGAGTCACACCTAAGGTTCTCAAAGGCCAAGAGAGCTGTGGGCTGAGAGAAACTTAGCGTTTCCTTCAGCTCCTGCAGTCTGAGCAAATTTATTGATTGATTTTGGACAAAAATGCCTTTATTGTAGCACATACAAGGCAAATTTACAACATAAAGGCAACTCCAATGCACACCTGAAGCTCTGGATTCCTCTGTGACTCCCCTTCCAAGGGTGTCACCTTCATTCTGTGCTGGCAACCCCTTTAGTATTTGCCATGATGCACAAGTGGGTGGAAATATCCCTTTGATCTCTCTGGATCAATTTGTTCTCCTCATCTCATGGCCTGGGAAGACTCCAAGGAGTGATATTTGCTAGGACTAATTGCTATTTCTGACCCAGTAACACTGGTTCCAGTGCTGGGTAGGCAAGAGCTGTTTGCTCTAATGTTTGTAAGAGTCAGGAGGGTATTTTGTGTTTGTTTTCCACAGCCTACACCCCACAGGATATCGTAGGAGGAATCCCAGAGGCCGAGTTGCTGCTTCCAGAGCTGCTGAAGAAAGCTGGTTACAGCAGTAAGATCATTGGCAAATGGTAAAGTGATTTGAAGATGTCATGCTTTGAGATTTCAGTCTGTGCTTGTGTCTTGGGAAGGAGCAGCAGAACAACCAGAATTAGAGGGGGAAAATGTGTTTTGAAGCTGAAATGTCCAACTTTGAAATCTGTGGTGGATCTTCCTCCCTGCTGGGATCAATCCCTGAGCTGAGTGTTGCTATTACAAGTACACATATATCTTCACAGAGTGTGTTGAAGGGTTTTATGTGTGTGTATATATATGTTTATAAACTCTTCAACTCTCTGCTTTCATCCACATCTTACACCACTTCATTCCATCAAAACCCACCCAGATGTTCTCTTGGAACTTGCCTTGAGCACCTCCATCTTCTGAGGTGCTTTTTGTCTTTGGTTCTTGCTATATATCAGAGGCTTCGTGGGTTAATAAACTCAATTCTGGTGGAAACTAATGGGCTACAATTTATCTAACAGTTTCAT